TGGTTTCCCAGTTACACTGTTGACTACGTGCCTACCTCTATCTTGGTCCGGTAGAGCACCAGCCTGCGGAGACGTGTTAGTTTGGAGATATGTGCAAAGGCCTGCGGGTGGAGGCGGTCACAGGAGGACAGGTTGAGCTCCTGCAGCCCAGGACAAGTCTGAGAGATGACCTCCAGACAGGCCTCATTCAGGAAGTGGCAGCACGACAGCTCCAGGCAGACCAGGCTGAGACCACAGGCCTTCATGAAGCTATGGGGAGGAATAGATGGAGAGGGAAAGACATGAGTGAAAGCAGAGAGGGGTAAATTCATCTCACGTCAGCAACATAACAGTCCACCTGTCCCTATATTAGACAATAAGGTTAGTGTCCTTTCATACAATTTATATTGTTTGTGTCATGATTACAGAGAAAGTTTCAACCCATTTTCTTTGTCTAAGTATGTACCCTCCTTCAAAACAAATGCTTGTGACTATGTGCTTGTTTTTCCAAGGTCATCCCTGTTTTCTAGCACTTGCGGCCCGCTGACAGTCTGACCTGCTGAAGCCAGTCAGGGTGAGAGCTCCACGGTTGCCGGTCCAGGACAGGTTGAGCCTCTGGAGGAGGGTGCAGCGGCTCTGCAGGTGTCCCAGGGAGGCGTCACTCAGCCGGCACCAGTAGGGCTGCAGACTCAGCTGGGTGTACTGCAGCGGGTCGCAGCAGTGCTGGTGCAGCAGCTTACAGCTCTGGGCCAGACGGCTGAGGTCTGGCAGGGTCAGGTGGCTCACAATCAGCTGGATGAGCTGTGGATGGAAGATGGGGAGAGGGGTTAGGAGAGGAGAGCAGAAAGGAAGGGGGGAGATCAGGAAGGTGGGGGGAAAAGGAGAGGAGAGACAAAACACAAGACCTGGTAGGAGAATACATAACATTAAAGCGCAGTAGAACCTAGTAGAGAACAGAGAATAACAGAGTAGAGAATGTTAATTGCGTCCCCTCTGTCACGCAGATCTAAATAGTGGTTATCTGGGACACAAAGCACTGATAGCAGGATCAGTGGTGAGGTGAGGCGGCTTGTTTTGCACTGCGTTCGTGTGCCTCTCAAAGAGAAAGAATGACTGTGCTTTTGTGAGTGTGTGTTGCAGTGAATTAACAATACACAGTGTTCAAGCGGGTATCAGCTGACAGATAATAGCTATATTGTGTTTCTGAAACAAACACACGGCGGTGGTGAAGACTGCTGTTAATGGCAGCGGTTTGGAGAGGAGATAAGAGAACAAATATCAAGAGTACTGCCGGTGTTTTGAAGCTCGCCTCAGACAACACGATACGTCTGCGTGGCATGAAAATGACTGTGTCCGTGAGTGCATGCGAGATCAAGTGTCAGAATGGGTCCAAGCAACAATGTTCATGTGTTTGCGTAAAATACAGTCTACAATGATGATTTTAGGGCTAGCTGCTGCTAATGACCTTAAGGTTTACTGTAAGTTATGATTGATCATAATCAGCAGTGAACTTATTCAAATGATTCTGAGAATGTAAATAATGCTGTGACAGATGATTATATTAAGTATTTTTAGGGGTTAAGGAGACAAACTGAGGCTAAACTGATTTTTCCATTTCCAGTTATCTATGTCAGGCAAATTAAATGGATGCTGAAACAATTAAAAAAACAATTAAAATAAAAAATGTACATATATACTTTCAACTAATCATTTTCAATGGATTAAAAGTAATTTATCAAGCAAAAATGCCAGACATTCTCTTGTATATGTCATGTAAACTAGATTTTTGAATTCTTGTCAGAAAAAAAGAAAAAAGAAAAAATTAAAGAAATAAAGATGGTACTTTTGGCTCTCTTATTATGGAAATTTGTCAAACATAGTCAAAAAATGAATCAATAATTGAAAAAGAAATCGCCTGTGTTGCAGACATGCTGGCATCCATTTCGACCAAACCAGACTTGGGGATTGTTGGAAAGAGACTAACGACGACGGTTTTGGTAAGGTTGATTTTGTTTCTGTCCAGTTTGAAGTTGGTTGTTAGTGTAGTTGGCTGTAATGCCCATTGTTTTGTCGTTTTTGTTTTTAAATGTGAGGGTTATCTATTTTATATCATTGTAAATTAGATGGGTTCGAAAAACACTGGGTTCTCTTGTCATGAGCAATAATAACAGATTAATCAATAAATGAAAATAAATAGTAGTGTGTCGGGCCTAAAATGCACCAACATCATAGCATGTTAACAAACGTTAATGCACAACTCTCTGTGAGCTGTATGAAAATACATGCAGACATTCAGATTTAAGCACCAGCATCTGGAAAACCTCTGACTGGAAGCTTATGTACTTTATTGACAGGAACATCTTTAAATTTGTAATGTTTCTAAAATAACATTATACAATTAAAGTCAAATTCAAGTTTCTTTTCGTGCTTAAGTAATCCTAATCCTAAAGGAACCTATACACCTGCTTTAAAATGTACTGGCACTGTTTTTAACGGTACTCTGTGGAGTGTTTTTTTTTAACCTGTAGTAGCACTATAGAGCAGTATTTTTATGAGTGGGTCCCCATTTTGTTTGTCTCATATACACACACGAGGACACAAATAAGTGCGCATGTGGACGTGGGTGATGCCAATGATTTTATATTATTCCACTGATTGATAGGCGCCAGTAAAGTGCCAACAAAAGCAGCACTGCACCAATAAAAAGGCAGTGGAGAAAGAGACTGTAACCTAGTAAACAATGCAGGATCTGAAACACAGGAAATGATTTATAAGGAAGGAAAAGCATTCTACACGTTTGTTAGGAGCTCAACGAGACACACAGTGAGTAACACAGAATGTAAAAGTAACTTTTGTTGAAATGAAAACTTCACAGGGTAAATTTGATGGTAACCACTAGTATTAATAAGGGTGCCAGTAGAATGGTGGGACCTCCATACTTGGCCAAATACAGCAAACTGATCACTGGAAGGACCCAATATTTAGAAAATTAGCATTAGTCAAAAATACTGCTATCCCTACTAGGAGTTACAGGATCACTTTGAAAGAGCAAAAAAGCTATGTTGTTGTCCTGGTCTGTATCTACTCTTTCATCCTGGCCTGAGTGATTCAGTGCACACATCTTAAAGGTCTGTAATCACCTCATATGGCAGTTTGTCAAAGTAGCCATTGCCTGTTCTCTGAAGCTTGCCGTCACCTCCTTGTCTGAATGGACCTCCCACATCAGACAGCTCCTCCTCGCTGTCACTCAGGTCACTAATGTCGATGACAGGCATCTTATAGAGGGCAAGCATGGGCCTCTCTTTCACCCCGCGCAGGATAACAGCGTCCAGCTCGGTGTAGTAGTCCAACAGAGAGCTGTTGACCTCCAGGCGCAGCAGGTTGGTAGGGAAGTTGATGTGCTTTATGTTAGGGGAAAACTGGCGTGCCTGGGGTGTTAGCACCTTGGTGGGCTCTCCTGACCACAGCACCTCCCACCTGGACAGAGGAAAGTGTATGCAAGAGTTTTATTGTAAAGCCACAAGTGGGAACCTTCCATTACCCTTTTTTTTTTTCCTGAAAGTAGGCCCATAACACTGTTGATTAGTGGGCTCCAGTCTACCTATAGTATTGTACACACCATCTATTGGAACTACAGTCATTTATATAAAGGTAACATTGGCACTATGTTTTATAAGGCTTAATAACAATTGACCATATTCCTGATCCATTCAGATTACATACCCTGACTCTCGTCTCACATTTTCAGCTGTTGGCTGAGTGTTCCTAAGCTTGTTTTGTGTGCTCCATGCACTGAATGAAATGCACAATGACATCTGTGAAAAAAAAGCCTTGGTGTTGGACAACAACATGACTCAGATTTTCATGATGGGCAGTGATGAACTATTGTAGTTCTATTCTGCTGTCCGCATTGTTGTCTTACAGAGAATATGAGTAATACGATTATTACAGTATGATTATGAAGTAGGACTTGTAGTTTTACACATTGTTTAAAGGTCGCAGTATGTTACAATCAGTCCATACTATTTTGGTAATGTTAAGGAGGCTATATTGTAGAACTACGCAGCGATGTGCAATTAACTTTCTCTGCTGACACCAGACCAGCCAATCACATCTGAAAATGAATTTATATGTAGGATGATGACCTTGTATACCTACTCAGTGCCCCTTATACAGGTATATGGTGCCAAACAGACAGGCCTAACAGAAGCAATGTAAAAAAAAAAAAAAAATGCAGTACATCCTTATTTTTAAAAAAACTAGGGCTGCAATTTAAAATTGTATTCATTATTGAATAATCTGCATATTTTCTAGATTAATGAATTAATCGTTTGGTCCATAAAATGTCAGAAAATAGTAAAAAAAACTGTCAATCCCAGTTTCTCTGTCTTTGAATGTCTGGTTTTGTCTGTCTAAAACTCAATAATAGTCAGTTTAATATGATATTTTATAAAACAGACAAAAGCAGTAAATCTCCATATTTGAGAGAACATAAAACAGCCAGACAACAGCAATTTTTGCATGAAAAATTACTAGACTAAAACTATAACCCTCTGTGGAATACAAAGATGTGGCAAAATTGCACAAATTACAAATTGGGACAAATTGGGACTAGGCTCACAGTGTAATTTCAGTGCTGTGCAAGAATATGCACCTCAAGGCTTTTTAAAGAGAGCAGCTCTGCCAGAGTAATAACAGTTGGCCCTAATTCAGGTTTGGTTCACAGTTAATGCTGATTTGATCAGGTTGGTTCCACAAAAGTAACTCCTGGTACTCTTTCCAATTTCCATAATAAAATGTTTAATTTCAGTCAATATTAATAATTATTGATCCTTTTTAACACCATTTTAAGAAAAAACAGGTGGGAAAAAAGGTTGACTTTAAACACCTTACTTTGTATTTAACCACTTTATTTATCACAGGTAATAATGTTGATGTCAACATATGGTCATATGGTAATATGGTAATGTTGCTGAGTACTTCGACATCGTGGACTGCCTGTGGATTGTTTCTTGAGATGTTACAGATGTAGGCTGTGACTGACGACATGTTGCATACTCCAAAGGGTGGAGGTAGCATGCTCCATTATAAAGGGATATGATAGGCTGTTTATGAGCCAGGGCCGATCTGTTATGTCCTTTCATGACAGTTTGCAAAGAACGCATTTAACTGAAACTATTGAGATACTATTGAACAATTTTCTTACTGCCATTGATGAATTGTCTATTGGTGATACATATTGCTATTGCTTTATTGCCTAGGACAAACTTCAGGGGCAATTACATTTGCACCTTTTGGATTCATTGATAGCAGATAGCAGATAGCAGAAACTTGAGAGCCACTCTGCTACACTGTGGGGAATTAAAACAATTTCCTGAAGTAGTCTAGAGCCCTTTTTTAATTATGTGTTTTACAAACAATGTATTATAATGAAGGGAAGCCAAATTGATAATGAATACAAATGCTAGGAATCAATTTGTAAGAGCATAATAATGTGAGTAATAAACACAGAGTAATTCAAATAGTGCCTGGTCTCCAGGGTTCAATTGTGCGTACCTGCTGGTCTTGCATGGTTTTCTTGGTAGTGTTAATTAACTAAACATTCTAGCACAGCCCTGAGAGAATGACTGCTGATGGTTTTCCAATGTCTTTACCTGACATCAGTAGGTGGGTTCTGGGAGAAGGGGTTGTGAGAGCAGGCCAAAATCTGGACAATGGCTCCAGGGTAATAAGTCTCAAGCACTTCCACTGCTGTAGGGTAGACAGGCTCTTCGAAGCCCAGTTCAATATAATCCTGGCTGTGGAAGCCTTTAGGTGTGCGGCGGAAAGGTGGTGGAGCACTGGCACACTGTTCCCACCACGTCCCATACGCCCTGAACACAGCCGTCTGAGTAAAGTCCCCTGAGCTGGGGTAGACGTTGGGTACCCCGGCAAGGTTCCACATGGTGTAGGACATGCTATTCTCACTGCCATAGTGGGAGCTGAAGTCCAGAACCTCCTTGGCATACTGCTCCACCTCCACACTGACTGGCAACACTGCCCGCTGACCGGACTCCACAGCCCGCCGACTGGTCAGAGCCTCACCTCGAGTCCCACTCCTGGAGCGTCGCCGCAGACAGATATAGTAAAACATGCTCAAGAGGGTTAACATAGGGAACTCTGGGGCTGATTGGGACAGCGGGGAGAAACGGAGGCTAGAGGGAGGAAGAGCCTCCACCTACTGGAAGCACACTGCCTCAGGGGCTGGGGGTGTACGAAGCGCAGGCTAGAGGCCTGGCTGCATGCATGACCTGTGGGTTAGGCAGAGACAAACATACACAAGTGAGTGGAGCATGGTCTGAGGCAGCATAGACCACAACTCCTGCTTGGTGCTGATATAAATAGTGTCAAGCAGGAGTCGTTGACTACTTGAACATTCTGAGTGATTACACCTATCTATTTCACAAAATATGCTTAAAGGGAGGAATGTGTTTACTTTTAGCTTAATGTAACTGAAAGCTTTCCAAAAAACAGAAACACGTCCAAAACTAAAAACATGTAGATCAACAGACTCTTGCCTACTTTGTGCACTTAGGGAATACTTTCAGAGGACAAAAGTTAATGGAGAGTGAAGGCAAAGCTTATTGGTGGGAGGTGTAGCTCTTAGGGCTTATTGACAGACAGGAACATGACATCCTGCCATAGATGGACTCCTGTCCTACCTAGCAAACAGCTAGCATTAGTGTGATGCATGGTGACCCTGCCTATCTACAGTTGCCACAGTAACCTTATCATCAAAAGGTACCTAGTACCACTGCTGACGCATGCCGGAAGAAATGCCCATTTCGATTAATGACCAGTCTTCATGATAACAACATGCAGGCAGTGAGCCACACTTAGCAGACCATGAGAGCGTGTTTATCAGGTCAAACTGGAAAAGCCAAAATGCATGTTAACACCCCAAAACCATCAAAAACACTATCCTAGGTACTTCTTCACTAGGCACAATGGCTGGTATCCTGCAGCTTTTGCAACCTGACAGACAGATAGACAGATACTGAATACCTGGTGTCGGGAAGACAAACACTAATAGTGGCTTACTAATTTTTCAGAACACTGGACTGGCAGAAACAAAAACCTGCAGGACCCCAGGAACCTCAATGTCTGGGATCTGACAACCCTGCTGTACAGGTTTTAAGCATGACTTGTCAAAGTGCACCAGTTATTCCTATTTTAAATCAGCAGCCACACTGCTGTAGGCTGCAGAAGCAATGCACATTCACTTTATCTTAAAGGAACAAGCTAGGGAACATTCCCATCAGGAGTGTTTTAAACAGGATTGGAAGCACTGCTATCAATCCCAAACGGACTGACAGGTATTTAAACACTGGGCCAACACTAGAGGACAATTACATTAAAGTTATCAATGGATATACATCTGGTAAAGTTGTAGCATGAATGCTTTTATACGCACTGATAGAAAACGTTACACATACGAGATAAACAGTACATAGCCATTGAAGAGAGGCGGTATCAGTGCTACTGAGAATTGTCAATAACTTTAAGCATTAATTATGTTTTGTAATGTAATCAATTTTCTTGTTTTCTCCAAAAACCTTGGCTAACTTTTTACAACCTAACATTATGTAGTTAGCGTTACGCTAGCTACTACGAATAAACTGTTGCTCCTGAAGATCGTAATGTTAGTTCAGTAACTACACCACAATGACTATGAGTGAAGTCACTAACACTGACAGGAAACATGAGCTGCCTCTCCCAGCTTAACGCTGTGTTGTTGGTGTTACTGTTAAACAGCTAGCGTTAGTTAGCCGACGTTAGCTAGTTAGCCTACAGACCAGCTGAGCTGTCCAAACAACAACAGTTAGCTTCCGTAGCTAGCGTTTCAATAGGCAACCGACGAGGACGGGACACGATTTACATTTACGGTAAACGCAGGTCGATGTATCCATTCATGAGGAGCGGTCCTCTTCTCCCCTTTAGGCTGTTTCAACCAAACAACATTCCTGCCGTTTACCGTGTGCTGCCTTCCCGAACAGTCGGACTATTCACCAAACAATCATGAGTGCACATTAACCTGGAAAATAATGCAGGGAATACCGAAGCTTTTTGTGGTATCCAGCTTCTGAGACGTTATGTTTAGAAAACAAAGTGCATTTCGGCCAATGTCGTATTATCAGTCCAGGATAAAGGCGATAGACAGTGCAAAACTGCGATGTTATTATCTTCATTGAATTGCAGCCGCACTGAACAGGTAAATGTCGGCTGATTTCCAAACGATTACGACAGAAAAGACATTATGGCTTGTCTATTTCGACAGTTTCGTTCGGAATCATTAAGTCAGTACTCGGATTTAAGGAAGTCTGAAATTGGACGGAGAGTTACGTAGGAACATTAAAAGCCTCACCAGTTCCGGACAATTTATCAACATCCGGTCAGCATTATGTTTAAGCAAAGCATTCTGGGGACTGTAGTCAACCTATTTTCTCATATGTATTTAGCTGAATGTAATTAATTTAAAATAAATTATATTATTGCTATTCATATTCAAAAGTATTTAGTGATAACCATTTTCTAGAATGTAAAGTGTTGCAAATATAGTCTAAGTCTAAGTCTAATATAGGCTCCTTTGGCAGTATCTTTTTTTTCCCACTGCAAAGGCCGAGAAATGCTACTACAGTCAATTGCAGTCTCTCTCACACAGGGATGCTGACTAAAAATCCTGCCTAGAGGTTCATCTTTCAGATTCTTTAACTACACATGCTGAATATCACACTACAGAACTTTTCAAAAATACAGGATATCCTTAATTATTTTGTCCATAGTTTACCATAGCCAGCACAGTTTCAGCAGATATTGAGTCTTCTGGTTTATTTTAGATTAACTGGTTTAACGGTGATCACCTTTTCCCATAACATCTAAAATCAGACACATGCTGGAGTCATTGTTTTACCCTTGCCAAAATGTCTTCAGACATGTCACTATTAATAGTTAATATTAATGTGTTATCAGGAATATATGACATTTGTTCCATTCTTAATTCTAATTCACTCAAAGTGTGCTCATTTTGCAAATACACCCCCAGTTGAACTTTTACAAAAGATTGTGCACTGTAATATTTACAATATATGCAACACAGAACTTCTATATCATGTTTTTATGTCAAAAGAGTTTTATTAATTTACAACAAATTAAATTACAACGATGCAGTACTAAACATTTTCACAAAGGGTCATCTTCAGGCAGGGTGCAGCAGCAGAGGTTTTTTTGCAGCCAACTGAAGAAACAGCTGAATCCGCTCATCTCTGTCTTTTTGACCTCTGAAAAGCAAAACAGGGCAGTCAGTACCTGAACTCATCACAACACAAGTTACCACAGTGTAAATGGACCTGATGGCTCAGACAACCTGTTGTGGTGTTGAAGGATGCATCCATCTTGACTGGCTGCCCCATGATCGTCATCTCCTCCTGCAATGTAGACTCATCAGCGGGAGTCAGAGGAGGTGGTGGGGTATAAACCACAGCAGAGTCTGGTCTGTATGCAAGCAGACTACAGTTCAAGCTATTGTGGAAGGCTTTGTGGGAAGGAGGTTTAGCACTGGTGGCCAGAGGAGCTGGTGGAGGAGTAATGACAGCGGAGACTGTTTCCACACCATCCACTACATCTGCTGGCTGGATGTAATCCTCTTCAGTGTTGATATTTACAGAAACCTTTTTGTGAGTCTGAGGAGGAAACAGCGCACAGATCTCTCCTGCTGCAACATCAGCGATGGTGTTCAGCACATCTGCTGCAAAGCAGTTGAGTTTCTTTACCAGGACGTCTTGAGAGTAGCGCTGTCTAACCTTTTTCAGGATAGACCGGACCACTTGGTCTCTAAAGGAACGGGAGAAGCAGATTTGAAAGGGCTTGGAGATCAGAACAGCCGAGACCCGGTCCTCAACTGCTTTGGTAACTCCAACAGCCATTTTACTGAGCTTTTGGGAGGGCATGTTGAAGGAGGTGTTTGGAGGAGACAACCAGAAGCCCTGCAGGACTTTAGGAACCACCTCCATCACAACCTCCCATGTGTGGACTACTTTGGAGCTGGGGGCCTCCTGCTGTTGCTCTGTCAGGATCCTGGCGTACTTCTGGGCCTGGCTGATGATCTTAGGATGTCTATAGGTTACAGTCATTCAAAGTTAGTTTTAAATTCACTTCAGGACACCACAGAGACAACCCAACCACTGTACCTGAACTGATAATAAATGTGTGTCAAATATGACTCACCGAAGCTGAGGAGGGGCCGCCTTTGGTGTGCTGAGCAGCTTTCTGGCTTCAAACTCAACGTCTCTCATCTTCAGGCTGTTGTTCACCTGGAACACCTGCAACAAGGAGTGAAATCTGATGAGCAGATCTGACCTATTTACAGAATAAATCAACAGTTGACTCCAAACTACTGTAGAGTCTTTTCAGGATTGTGGTCTTACCATCTTGAGAAGAAGCCTGGCTTCAGGATCAAAGTTCTCCAGTTCCAAATCCCAGAGCCTTCAAACAGAAAGAAACACAAGTTTCATCTTCACTGTTCCTCTCTTCCTCATTACAGACATGTTGGTGTGACATGAGCAGAGATAAGGTCAGGTGTAGTGCCGCACTGTGTGTGTGTGTCTGTGTCTGTGTCTGTGTCTGTGTGTGTAGTAACTCACTGCACTCTCAGAGTGTTTTTGCTCTCCTCCACCAGCAGCTCACTCATGTCTTCAGCAGTCACCTCAGATGGGAGTTGGTTATTCTGCTGAAGTCTCAAAAGTTCAGTCTCCAGTGCAATCTAAACAACATACAAGGGATCACATGTCTTTAGGTTCAAGTACAAGTACACAATTAATGAGACTTTGCCTGCTGTTTTATTTTGGTTTAGACATGAAAACTGTAGTGGGTCTTACCTGAGACCTATAGGAGCCAGTGTGCCAGCAGATCTCCAGAGCCCGCTCATAAATGGGCGTGTCAAACAACACCTGTTAAGGAAACAATATAATGTTCATCATTAGTTGGTTATTCAGAGCTTTAACTCCATCTGAAAATGTTTACAGTCTAACTCCAGTAAAAATACAGTCTCACATACCCTGATGGGTCTGTAGATGCCTCTACTTCCTTCTGTAAACTCCATGGATATTTTCTTGCTGTAAAATAAAATACAGTCAAAGCAACAACGAAATTCGAAAAACGTTTTTGCAGTTCAATGGTAAACTCGAGAGTACTCAAATACAGTTGATCCTCCACACACAAATGAACAACAATGTAACTGTGTACACTTACTGCATGTTCCATTCCCACTGTCTTGAGAAATATTGCACATCACCACTCATTCTCAGACAAGTTGAATTGTTACTTCCAGTAAGACTGACGTCAATGACATTTGTTTCAATGATTAAATATAAATATCAAAAAATGATAGTTAGGTAGCACAGTCAAATATTCATACAGAGCCTGCAGATAGTGAGTCAAGGCTGCTAATAACAAAATGATAACACAACAGAAGAAACAAGGTGTCTATTGGTGTGTCAATGTTAGGTATTTAATAACAGACTGAATACTACATGGAAGACTGTTCCAAACTCGAGGCACTAGAATACAGCACAGAATTGATGACTTCTTGATGTTAATCTTGATTTTGGCCCAGCTGAAAGGCCAATTAACTGATATGAATACCTTTTGGGGCAGTAGTGAGTTTAAAGTTCATGGTACATGTAATCTGGCCCTAATTAAAGTAAATCTGGCCATTTTAAGTCTTGTATGTAATTACAATTTCCAAATAAAAAAAAGTGTAATCAGTGCAAATAAACTAAAATTGAGGTGACATGGCAGGAGTGTTTGATCTTAGACACTTGTCAATTGTACTCAATTTGAAGCTGCTAGAGCTTAAGCCTTAAGGGTTAAATAGATAAACAAGATAGTGCAATGGTCAAGGTGCAAGGAGATAAAAGCACAAATGATTTTGTCAGTAAGGACAGCATTGCTCAGATTGTGAAAACCATAACTGAATATGCTCTTAGAACACTTTATAAGTAGTGCATGAGTTTGTGTGTAGAGTTGCTGAAGGCAAATTATTTGGATCTCTGTTTTATCAGAGTTAAATTGCAGAAGGTTCTGTGACATACAGATGTCACGACTGGTTCGAGCAGACAGGAATAGGACCAAATGCAGACAACAGAGAACTGGTGCAGATCAATGATTTATTAACAAAAAAGAGAAGATGCTTACAGGATCATGAGGCAGGCAAGGATCAAAGCCAGACATGCTGTCCAGAACAGATAAACAGATCCAAAAAGGAGCATTCAGGAAGCCGAAGTCCAAATAATCAGGCAGGAGGTCAAACGGACTGGTCAGGCAGGCAGAAACAGGTTCAGATTTTGGTTTGACTTGAACACAAAGGCATAAGGTACATGGGAGCTTTGAGAAGTTGGCAGAGTACTGATGGAAATGAACCAGTATATACTGCTACAGGGCTGATTAGGGGAAATGGGAAGCAAGGAGATGGGCGGGGAGGTCAGGTGGGAGTAGAGGTAAAGGGATTATTGCAAGGCAGGTGAGGGAAAGTGGAAAAGTCTGAGGGCATCTGGTGGATGGAAGAAGAATGGCAATGAGGGCAAGACAATGCACTGGACTGGTGGAAAAGAGAGATGACTGAAGGGTGGGACAGAGAGGAAGAATGTCACTGTATCTGCAGCATAGTGGTGGCAGGAGATGTTGTGAGGATTTCCCTCAAAGTTAGGATAAAGGAGAACAAAACTGTTGCAAGACTTGATCCTTGTGGTAAACCACATGTTTTCTCTATACTTGGAGAAATGAGTAAATCATCACAAACAAACAAACAAACAATATAAATCCAATTAGTGCCAACCCAGGGCTGTTCCAGATATACCCAACCATTTTTTTAGTATATAATTAGCATGATCAACAGTGTCAAAGGATGCACATTAAGGCATCAATCAGAGCACTCTCCAGTATCTGATCATCAATAAATCAGGGATAGCAAGCAAGCTTTTTCATTGCTGTGTAGTGTGCAAAACCCAAACAGAAACTTTTTAAACATTCTGTCGATATTGAGCACCTCCAACAGTTGTTTCAACAATAGTCCAGATGACAGAGACATATTTAAAATGTGGAGCAGAGGGCCAACTGGAGGGGTCAATGAGAGCTTCCAAACCAATTGTTTAAAGCCAATCCTCTTGCATGTTTAATTTCAGCCTGTCCAATGCTGGATGGTATTTGAGAATTTAAAAGTTGTATAAACAAGAGCCAATATATTTTATTTTCATGGCTAACAGCATAAGACAACATCAAATTCAAATGCTTCTTCTTAATGTTAGAGCAAATGGCAAGTATGTAAGCATTACATCTGTATTAGAGTTTTTCAGTTGTGAATTATGAGTAGGAAAATAAAACTAAACTTTGTGTTGTTTAAGCTTTTGCCACAGTGCCAAAAGAGATATGTGTGTTGTGTGTGTCGTTCAATCTTTAGAGAAGAGTACTACAGAACTGAAGCAAAGACAACACGACTGTATTTTTTCATCTGGTGGAGGAGGTAACTAATGTGGTATAATAAGAATATCAAAAGCCAATATCAGAATGTGAGTAAAAGTTGCAGCACCTTAGTTTCTTCTTTGTGGTTGGCAGGGGAGTGAAGCAAAGGAGCCGTGATCTCCAACTACACTGCTGTATTCCACACATGAACATACACCGATCAGAACATTTTGACCCCCTGGGCAACCTGGTGGTCATAATGTTCTGCAGCCCCATACGAACAAACTGCTCTGCACTATGTGTTCTGACCCCTGTCTATCAGAACCAGCAGTAAAATGTTATAGCAGTTTGAGCTACAGTAGCTTGTCTGTTGGACCAGCCTTCACTCCCCACGTACATCAATGAGCCTTGGCCGCCCATGACCCTGTCTCCGGTTCCTTGGAGCACTTTTGATAGGTACTGACCAATGCAGACGGGAACACCCACAAGAGCTGCAGGTTTGGAGATGCTCTGACCCATCGTCTAGCATCACCAATTTGGCCCTGTCAAAGTCGCTCAAATTCCTCACACTGCCCATTTTTCCTGCTTCAACTTTTGAGGACAAAATGTTCACTTGCTGCCTGATATATCCCACCCACTGACCAGATAATCCACGTTATTCACTTCACCTGTCAGTGCTCATAATGTTATGGCTGATCAGTCTACATTCTTAATGTACAATTTTTTAATTTAATTTGTTTATATAGTAATCTGTTTTTCAGCCAGAGCTCTCACTTGGCGGTTGGTGCTTTCATCTGAATACTGTTTGTTTCCAGGCCGGAGAGAGTAAAGCTGACATGATGGACAAATCCAAATCAGAATCAGCAAACCACAGCTTGAGAGAGCTGAAGTGAGAAAATATCAGAGTCAAATGGTGCCTGTCTCTTACTGAAGGTGAAAATATGTCAGATATTCTTTTTTAACAACAAATGTCACTCTTGGTCAAATTAAGGTTGTCAAGACAACAACAAAATTCCACTTTACTACATTCTGGTATGGCCGAAAAGGGCTTTGTTGGATTTGTCCTCAAAATATTGTCACAAGGCCGACAGCCCAGTCTCCAAAATAAAGGCATCCATTTTCTTACCTGCACAATATACATTTAGTTAACCGATTAACATAATACTATCAGAGGTTGGTCTACCCTGAGGTCGGCTTATTTGAGGAAAGGACCATAGCTTACATACAGTGTGCAGGTGGCATTAACTGCTGTATAAATATGATCATGGAGTTTGGCTCCTGACTGTTATCATAATAACCGAGGAACAATGTGTGGCTGATATACTAAATCATGCCTCAGTTTGATTTATTTCTCCTGGCACACATCTATCAGACAGATAAAAAAAGGCTACACAACTGAAGTTTAACTGTATGTGTGTTTGTTTGTTTGAGTTAAGAGGCATACTTGGGCATGTGTAGATTGCAATTGCAACATGTAATCCACATAAAATGTAATGAGTTAAGTTTACAGGTATAGTGGCAACTAATTCCAATGTCAATCAATACATTTGGTTCAATATGACAAATTTTAATAATTTTAAAAATTATTTTGTCAAAAACCCAAAGGCATACCGTTAAAGTATGAAAGTAATAAACAAATAAATCCTCCCATTGGAGAGGCTAATAGCATCCTCATCAGCCACAATTAAATTTATTAACAAAGTACTAGAAGACATTTCTTAATGGCCAAATAAGCCATTACATATTTTTTGCCAATTTTCTCAGTTCTCTGCTTGCTTTCGTGATGCCACACAAATAGCTTAAAATGCAGATACAGTGTAGTTAGATCAATAAATAATGCTAATGTAATCTGAATATGCATGCTGTAATGCCATTTCTAGTGGTGCATTAACTCTAATGGATGTAGCATTTTCACAGATATTAAGAAAAGTGTGTTTGTTTTGGAGCTAGCAGTGTAAGTGAAGGGTTTCCACGTGCTAAAAGCCTCTTCTGAGCAGAAGAGAAGCCTCTAACCTCTGCCGTGAATCTATCCCACCCAAACCCTCCGCTCAAAGCCAAGAAAGATGATACAAGTATACAAAACCCCAGCTGTCTTTCAAGCATAGTTTTAGGAAAAACTCTCCCTACAAAAATTTCAGCAGAAGCTTATTCTTGTTGGTAACTTTGGCATGTTTGTACGTTCCAGGTGAAGCTTGCAAAAGGAATGATTATTAAGGACAACATATGATCCTCTCGCAAGAAAGAAAACCACAGAAATGGTGTGTGAGCTGTTCTCCAGAGAGGAGATGGTGACGGCTTCACAGTCTGGAAAACTCTCCAATGCCCATGAAGAGTCACAGCTGTGTTGTGCAAAGGTTAAAGCAATTTGTGGTAAGTTATTAGTAGTGAGTTATTAGTCATGATGTATTAGTGGTGTTTTGTTTCCCGGGCTCATACTGTATTACAAAGGTAACATCCTTTGTCATGTGGATGTTTCACAAAGCACACAGATCTTGGCTTTGATCATTCTTAAACTCAGCCAGCTTGTTGTATCCCTGTGGATCATTTGCTGGATTTGGAGACACCACAGGAGACTGGTGCTTCTTTTAAAATTACATGTGTACATTACATGTGTAGTGGGGACCACTAGAACACCTCACTGTGTCTAGTGTTCCTGAGATTCAATTGAAGGAGTGTATACAAGACTAACAACTTTGAAAACAAGATACACCTATTTTATACATATACTTGTGGAGGGTAAGAAGT